AAAAAAAAAAAAAAAAAAAATCAGTGACCATCCTCAACTTGGGTCTCCTGAACAACAACATGCCGCTTCTACTAGAAGGAGTGTCTCTGGCATTTTAATTACCAAGAGAAAGATAACAGCATTTACTGAGGGCTTATAATGCATCAATCTCATCGAACCCTCCTAACAACCCTATATAAAGTAGCTCTTGGTGTTCCCATATCACAGATGAGGAGAACTAAGACTTAACCATCTCTGCAGAGTACAAAACCAGTAAGAAAGACTAGCATCTAGGTCTAATATAAATCCAGAGGCTCCAGTGTCTTCTGCTACCAGTCACACCACATCCTTCTTTCCCTTTGCCTTGGCCTTTTAGCTCAATTTGATTCAAGTAACATAGGAGGAATATATAGGAGAAAATACATGAAGGAAAGAAGTCAGAGGGTTTGGGTGCAGGGAGAAAGAGAGTGCAGTAATCTTTAGTGTTGAAAATGGGGGAAACAAATATTTAGAAAGTAAAAACGATCCCAATCTTTTACCCGACATTACCATCCTGTACGAAACTCTACGGAAATTCTCCCCTTAAGTATGGAACACTGTGTAATGTGTTCCAATGGAAAGCTCCTCTGTTTGGTCTATCCAGGATTTATAGGGAAGTTTAAATCATTAAATAACCATAGTTAACCCCTGTTTGGTTAAGAGAGCAAGCAATTATTGCAAAAATTCCTCTTCTCTGCCTTCCACAAACAGCACAAAAATTACTCTGAAGGGATTTACATAATACATCAACATCTGTGCTGTACCTAGAGCTGTTAAAATAATTGTGATGACAGGTGTCTAGGTACCACTTTCTTAATGGTTTTCAATATCCATTGATTTATTGTTGCAGCTTTCCTTCCCCCTTTTTACATCCTTGGCTTTATGAAGGATCCGAGGAACAGATTTTGCACTAGAGGCTGATTCTTTATTCCAGTACTGAAAAGAACTAATAAAAATAATCACTTGGCTTTTAAGCAGAAAGCTTCCATTTACAGTATTTCACCCTTACCGCCCCCCCCACTTCCAAGCCCCTTGTTATCTAACATAATGGTTAGAATACATTTCCGTCTCTCCCCTTAATAATTTCATGCATTAACATCCTCTTTACACACCACACACACACACACACGCACGCACACACACACAGCAAAAGGAAAAAAAAGGCAGCAGAAATCTCAGCTGTACTTCTAGCCCTTTTAAAAAGTTTGCTCTGTAAATTGGAATGAGGTCAGATTTGGAGCTTCTCATTGCACGCGGAGATTATTATTGCATCGGGTTCCAAGCCAATGGGAAGCCCGGGGGAGGGGCTTGGCACGAGGAAGCGTTGGTTACAGCAGCTGATTGGCCGCGGCCAAGACTGTGAAAGGATAAAGAGGCGCGAGGCGGAATTGGGGTCTGCTCTAAGCCGCAGCAAGAGAAACTGTGTGAGGGGAAGAGGCCTGTTTCGCTCCCGGGTCTCTAGTTCTTGCACGCTCTTTAAGAGTCTGCATTAGAGGAACTCTGCCATTACCAGCTCCCTTCTTGCAGAAGGGAGGGGGAAACATACATTTATTCATGCCAGTCTGTTGCACGAAGGCTTTTTGGCTTCCTACCTTGCAACAAAATAATTGCACAAACTCCTTAGTGCCGATTCCGCCCACAGAGAGTCCTGGAGCCAGAGTCTTTTTTGCTTTGCATTGTAGGAAAGGGACTAAGTGATAGAGACTATGTTGCTTTCCTGAGCTCCTGAGAGCGCTCGTGAACTGGAACCAACTGCTTCAGGGGAAGGAAAAAAAAAAAAAAAAAAAAAAGACTTGCCTGGGAGGCGGCGAGAAACTTGCATTGGAAGCTTCAGCAACCAGCATTCAAGAAACTCCTCTCCACTTTATAACACGGTCTGCAGACTCAGAGCCGAGAGACAGAGCAAACTGCGGCGCGGTGAGAGAGAGAGCGAGAAAAAGCGAGAGCGAGAAGCAGAGGGAGGGAGAGACTCTCCAGCCTGGGAACTATAACTCCTCTGCAAGAGGCAGAGTACTCCTTCCCCGCATCTTTTGGAGACTTTTCTCTCTGCGCCCACCACCGCCCCGGCCAGGAGTGGAGGGGCCCGCACGGCCGCCGCGCGCGTCCTCCCGCTCGGCGTGTGCTTGGCCCGGGGAGCCGGGAGGGCCCGGCGATCGCGCCGCGGCCGCCGCGAGGGTGTGAGCGCGCGTGGGCGCCCGCCGAGCCGGGGCCATGGTGCAGCAAACCAACAACGCCGAGAACACGGAAGCGCTGCTGGCCGGCGAGAGCTCGGACTCGGGCGCCGGCCTCGAGCTGGGCATCGCCTCCTCCCCCACGCCCGGCTCCACCGCCTCCACGGGCGGCAAGGCCGACGACCCGAGCTGGTGCAAGACGCCGAGCGGGCACATCAAGCGGCCCATGAACGCCTTCATGGTGTGGTCGCAGATCGAGCGGCGCAAGATCATGGAGCAGTCGCCCGACATGCACAACGCCGAGATCTCCAAGCGGCTGGGCAAACGCTGGAAACTGCTCAAAGACAGCGACAAGATCCCTTTCATTCGGGAGGCGGAGCGGCTGCGCCTCAAGCACATGGCTGACTACCCCGACTACAAGTACCGGCCCAGGAAGAAGGTGAAGTCCGGCAACGCCAACTCCGGCTCCTCGGCCGCCGCCTCCTCCAAGCCGGGGGAGAAGGGAGACAAGGTCGGTGGCGGGGGCGGCCATGGGGGCGGCGGCGGTGGCGGGAGCGGCAACGCGGGGGGAGGAGGCGGCGGCGCGAGCGGCGGCGGCGCCAACTCCAAACCCGCGCAGAAAAAGAGCTGCGGCTCCAAAGTGGCGGGCGGCGCGGGCGGCGGGGTCAGCAAACCGCACGCCAAGCTCATCCTGGCGGGCGGCGGCGGGAAGGCGGCGGCCGCGGGCGCCTCCTCCTCCTTCGCGGCCGAGCAGGCGGGGGCCGCGGCCCTGCTGCCCCTGGGCGCCGCCGCCGCCGACCACCACTCGCTGTACAAGGCGCGGACTCCCAGCGCGGCGGCCTCGGCCTCCACGGCCGCCTCCGCCTCGGCCGGCCTCGCGGCCCCGGGCAAGCACCTGGCCGACAAGAAGGTGAAGCGCGTTTACCTGTTCGGCGGCCTGGGCGCCTCCTCTTCGCCCGTGGGCGGCGTGGGCGCGGGCGCCGACCCCAGCGACCCCCTGGGCCTGTACGAGGAGGGGGGCGCGGGCTGTTCGCCCGACGGGCCGAGCCTGAGCGGCCGCAGCAGCGCCGCATCGTCGCCGGCCGCCGGCCGCTCGCCAGCGGACCACCGCAGCTACGCCAGCCTGCGCGCCGCCTCGCCCGCGCCGTCCAGCGCGCCCTCGCACGCGTCCTCGTCGGCCTCGTCCCACTCGTCCTCGTCCTCGTCGTCGGGCTCCTCGTCCTCCGACGACGAGTTCGAAGACGACCTGCTCGACCTGAACCCCAGCTCAAACTTTGAGAGCATGTCCCTGGGCAGTTTCAGCTCGTCGTCGGCGCTGGACCGGGACCTGGATTTTAACTTCGAGCCCGGCTCCGGCTCGCACTTCGAGTTCCCGGACTACTGCACGCCCGAGGTGAGCGAGATGATCTCGGGAGACTGGCTCGAGTCCAGCATCTCCAACCTGGTCTTCACCTACTGACGGGCGCGCGCGCGGGCTGGGAGGAGAAGGCCGGGGGGCATGGGGGGGGAAGGAAGAAGAGGGAGAAGTGGACAGAGAAAGAGTTGGAAGAGAAAAGGGAAAAAAGAAAAAAAAAAGGAATAGAAAAAAAAATTGAGCGGGGCCGGCTTCGGCCGCGTCGCGGTCGCCGGAGAGAGAGGAACGCGGGGGGCGTTTTGGGGACCCGCGCTCCCATCCCCCACCTCCCCGACCGCAGGGACGCGGAGGAGGCGGCGGGGAGAGGAGGGGGCGACCTTTTATTGTTGTTCTTGATGTTGTTGATGGCAAAAAAAGCTACTTGGAGTTTCCTCCCCTTTGCCCGAAGAGACCCCCCCCACTTCCAGCGAGCTTCCGGACTTGTCTGCTGCACCCCCAGCAAGAAGCCGACTTGGTAGTTTTTCTAGAGACTGAAGGAATCTCGTCCCTTTTTTCATCGCCCCCTTGCTGTTTTTGTTTTATTTTATCTCATTTCTTGGTCAAGAGAGGAGGGAAAAAGAAAAGAAAAGAAAGAAACCCAACGCGCCCCTGGGGATTTAGTTCTCAGCACCCCCGCCATCCCCTCCCCCTGAAGAAGACAGAAGGCTCCGGGCGTGGAATTGGACCGACGGCAGATATTTTGGGGGGTCGCGCAGGCTCGAGTGCCAGGACAGAGAGACTCCACGCTGGCGGATTCCCGTTTTGTTGGGTTTTTCCTCCTTTTTCCCTTTCTTTCTTTTTCCTCTTTCTTCCTTCCTTTTTTTTTTTTTTTTCCCCTTGCCCCCCCCTCCCCGCAGCCAGAGGAGAAGCGGAGAGCCCGGCGAGGGGCGCGGGGCGGGGCGCGGCGGGGGGGGCCGCGGAGGAACTGGGACGGATTTGCACGTTCGGGGGCAGGTGGCGCGTCCCGGCGGCCCCCGCACCCCCGAAATCAGTGAGGTGAGACTCCGCGGCCCGCGGGCGTGCAGGAGAGCGGACTGTTTGATGTGGTACCGGGGGCCGTGCAGGGGCGAGTGGTTTCGGGCGGGGGGGGAAAAAAGAGGTTTTTTTCTTCTCTTAAAATCGGAATCGTGATGGTGTTGGATTATTTCACTGGTGGGGTTAATATAGCATGTTATCCTGTCTATCTTTTAAAGATTTCTGTATAAGACTGTTGAGCAGTTTTTAAAATAGTGTAGGATAATATAAAAAGCAGATAGATGGCGCTATGTTTGATTCCTACAACAAAATTATCACCAGCTTTTTTTCATTCTTAACTCTTTAAAGGATTCAAACGCAACTCAAATCTGTGCTGGACTTTAAGAAAAAAAAAACAATTCAGGACCAAATTTTTTCTCAGTGTGTATGTGTTTATTCCTTATAGGTGTAAATGAGAAGACGTGTTTTTTTCCCTCACCGATGCTTCATCCTCGTATTTTTTTTTCCTTGTAAATGTAATCAGATGCCATTTTATATGTGGACGTATTTATACTGGCCAAACATTTTCTTTTTCTTATTTTGTCCCTTTTTTATTTTAACCTTTGGTTTACTTTCTTTTCTTTCTTTTCTACTTCCTTTATTTCTTCCTTCCTTTTTTTTTTCTTTTGTTCTTTTTTTCTTTTTCTTTTTTTTAGTAGTTTGTTGTTACCCACGCCATTTTACGTCTCCTTCACTGAAGGGCTAGAGTTTTAACTTTTAATTTTTTATATTTAAATGTAGACTTTTGACACTTTTAAAAAACAAAAAAAGACAAGAGAGATGAAAACGTTTGATTATTTTCTCAGTGTATTTTTGTAAAAAATATATAAAGGGGGTGTTAATCGGTGTAAATCGCTGTTTGGATTTCCTGATTTTATAATAGGGCGGCTGGTTAATATCTCACACAGTTTAAAGAATCAGCCCCTAATTTCTCCATGTTTACACTTCAATCTGCAGGCTTCTTAAAGTGACAGTATCCCTTAACCTGCCACCAGTGTCCACCCTTCGACCCCAGTCTTACAAAAAGGGGAGGAGAATTAGCCAAACACTGTTAGGCTTTTAAGAAAAGACAAAATTTTTAAATAAAATACCGTTCTGTCCAGAGGCTTTAAAACTGGTGCATTTACAGCAAAAAGGGATCCTGTAGCTTTAACTTGTAAACCACATCTTTTTTGCACTTTTTTTATAAGCAAAAACGTGCCGTTTAAACCACTGGATCTATCTAAATGCCGATTTGAGTTCGCGACACTATGTACTGCGTTTTTCATTCTTGTATTTGACTATTTAATCCTTTCTACTTGTCGCTAAATATAATTGTTTTAGTCTTATGGCATGACGATAGCATATGTGTTCAGGTTTATAGCTGTTGTGTTTAAAGATTGAAAAAAGTGGAAAACATCTTTGTACATTTAAGTCTGTATTATAATAAGCAAAAAGATTGTGTGTATGTATGTTTAATATAACATGACAGGCACTGGGACGTCTGCCTTTTTAAGGCAGTTCCGTTAAGGGTTTTTGTTTTTAAACTTTTTTTTGCCATCCATCCTGTGCAATATGCCGTGTAGAATATTTGTCTTAAAATTCAAGGCCACAAAAACAATGTTTTGGGGGAAAAAAAAAGAAAAAAGAAAAAATCATGCCAGCTAATCATGTCAAGTTCACTGCCTGTCAGATTGTTGATATATACCTTCTGTAAATAACTTTTTTTGAGAAGGAAATAAAATCAGCTGGAACTGAACCCTAAATCTCGACTTTTGTCATTATTGTATGCCCAGAGCCTAAGATTGGGAGGGCCCACCCCGGTAGAAGCTTACCCCATCTGCCTTAGCTCTGAGTAACTTCTCCGAGGGCAGCCTGTTCAATGCTTTCTTCCTGAGGAATACCAAGTTCCTCTTGGCCAGATTTGGCCAGCCCAGACCCTGAAATGACAGCGTCAGCTTGAATATGTGTCAACTCTACACGCTTTCTAGGAATTTTCCGAGTTTACTACATTTAAATAAATGCCCTTTGTCTTGAAATTTAAAAAAGGGGGGGGTGAAGGGCAATGCGGAGAGGCTTCTTTACAGGTGAAAAGTGGCTGGCTGATCTGTATTTTAACCTGTGCCTAAAGCTGCTTTCTCCTACACTTGCCCGTAGTTACCATCCAGCGGTGGCTAGAATCGTTGTACACGGATCAAGAACAAATACGCCCGTTAGATTATTGCTATATTTGCGGAGGAGGAAGCCATCACTAATTTCGAAATGGAAAAGTTGTATAAATTTTTCCCTCTGAAGCAGAAAGACTCACAAGGTGCTAAAAATCTCCATTTTGTGCCATGCCCATTTTTGTGGGTTCTTAATATGAGAGAAATGCAACAATAGGGATGATCTGGAGAAGTGGGCTCCCCGAGGGCTGAGAGGAAATCCAACCCTCCTCCTGCATCTGTGAATAGCACGCATTCAGCTAGGGGAGATTTATACGTTTTATATGCATCTGGTACAGCAGTATTACTGAGACCTGTAGGCAAGGAGGAAAAAGGCCCATTAGTACTCGGTTTGGAACCTGCAAATTGCTAAGTAGCACTATTTCCTGTTTACTTTGAGGGTTAACTATTGCCATTAACTAACAAAACCCATCTTCACTTACAAACGTTTGTTAATTAAAGATGTGTGCTCTGTATATCTTCTGGTTTTTTAGCACTGGAGAGAAGGGGTTAATGAGCAGAAGTGTTTGGAAATAATCCTTTAACCATCAGGATTGCTTGTAGGTAAGGGAGTATCCTGCATCCTAGAAGAAGAGATTTTTGGAGACTAGTACAAAACAAGCACATTTTTTTGTTCAGCGAAGAGCAGTAATCTCTACCTCCAAAGTAGTACAACTTTGTGTTTCAATATAAGTTCACCTTTTTAAAATTATTATAGCTACTAGTTTCCAATTTTTTCTTGTATTTTGCTAATGTAGTTTTAATTGCATTTGTGTTCTGCAATGGTAGGATCTCATTTTTTAAGAAGACCTTAAGATAACATGGCATCTTGAGTCTCTTCAAAAACCTTTGCAGAAGGAGTGGGGGAGATTCTTTTTATAAAGTGCTTAAATTTAATTTCTGTTCCTTGTCGTTACGGTAATGTGATTGTTTCATTTTTTCACATCCAAAGTATCAAAACCTTGACATAAGTGAAGCCTTTGTGATGCATTTTTTACATTTTATTTTGTAGGGTTCTCCTTCTGGAACTGTGTATTTGCCCTTTATTTTCCATGTAAGGCAGATAGATGCTTTGAATATTTTCTTGAAGAATTTTGATAATGTTCCTTTAAAAATAAAGGCTTAAATGTGTGTGTCTTCCTAGCAGGTGATAGAGTAACTGTGAGAAACATTTTTGTACTTTCCTCTGAAGCAGTTTTCTCATTCAGAAGGGATCCTAATGTGTTGGGGGGGGCGGGGTACAAGGCATAATAAACCTGAGAAATCAAACAGTTTAGTATGGCTTTTTCTTTCAGAACATTTGGATCAGCAGAAAAGAATAAATTTCAGATTTCCTTTTAAGACCATCAAACCATTTTTCCTTAAATGCACTGCTTCTGGCCCTTTGGCTCCATCAGAAATGTGAATCAGTAATAGACTTGCTGATGCAAATTGTGTCACTTCCTAGTTGAGTACCTGTAAGTGCCAAGAAAAAATACAGAGCATGTAAGCTGATAGGGTAGGCTGAGTGCCTAAAATGGCTTCTTGCATTTGTGCTCCCACTGCTCTGGGGACTGGGGTGGGGGTGCTAGGGACGCTCAGGGGTTCTGAAGAAAGTGAAAGCAAAGGGTTGGGAAGTGGACGGCAACATAAGTTACTAAGTATTTCCTGTATTTATAGGGTACTCGTGAATTAGAAACGGCGGTTTGGGGAATGCTAAGGGTCACAATGTTTAATCATAAATTTAGAGAACAGTTTAAGGATCCCATGGAGGCATTGGAAAGATCCCTGTGTCCAGGAAAACTTAAGAATTATGCTAGAAATACAAATCCATCTTACCCATTTGGATTTCTCAGGGTGGAAGGTTGGTATGCTTTATTTTTCTTGGGGTTTTGTTTTATGCCCCCTTTTTTCCCCCTTATCATTTAAGGCCTCTACACTACTTTTTTAACCCATATTTGCTAACATCTATCCTTGCCCCTCTTGTCCATCCTGGAAAATTCTCTCCGTATATGTTTCTAGATCTTTACTCTGGCTGTCTTTTAAAAACTAAAGTGGAGAGGGGGTGCGTGGTGTTTCAGACTCTGCTAAAAATCTACCAGATTCCCCTCTATCCAGGAGAGAATGCAGAATTCACATGCTGCCCCTTAAGGCTCTTCACGAGATGGTTTTAGCCTGCCTAAGATCCTAAGTTCTTAAATGCCCCAGAATCCGTGTCTTCCAGTCTGGTCCATGAACCCCGACATCAGAATTATCTGGACATTCTTGTTAAGGGCAGAGATCATAAAGATTATCAGACTCAGGTGGGGCCCTAATTAAACCCCCCCATATATTTCCAATGTTCCCTAAGTTTGAGAATCCCTGCCCCCCTCCCATGGTATTTTAGCATCTTCTCCCAGTAAG